AGTTTCCATCCTAAACAGATGGATCAATCATTTAATCTCAGAAAACATACTTATTTGCATGATGCTATAGGAACCGTCCTCATCTCAAAAATGGGTTGCTAGTCCTGAGAGACCTCAAAAGACTTGTCACAGACACAGGGTATAAATAGGATGACCTCAGACTATGCCTTAGGCTTCTGTGGGATAGAAAATGTGTCAGCCACATCTTTCAGTCTTTGATACAAGGTTCAGGGAGAAGGGTCTGATTCCCTCTGCCCTTGAAGGAGGGCCAACCGTGGGCACTTGTTTCTTACAAGAACATGGGAACAGAAAAGATGGCTACCCATCTTCATTGAGTAGGTTAAAAAGGGGGTGCAGATTGCTTGGTAGTCTACCTCTGGGGACACACAGCTTAGAGCCTACAGTTAGCAGGTAAGAAATGGCCTATGTCCTGAAGACACCACACTAGTAAGACCACAGCAGAACACACCAACGTACAAGCATGAAAAAAGCTCAAGGTTAGTAAGCACACAGGTCCCAGGCCAGATGCAGAGTGTGGGTAAGAAGAGCCTGGAGAAGTCTCCAACCATGGACTCAGGCAGCTAAGGTATGTTGTGGGATATCTGAGCAAACTGTAAAATTTACTGCTGTTTTACCTTGCCTGCCTAAGACACCTGATTGGTTTAATAATGAGCCTCAATGTCCAATAGCTAGGCAGGAGAGGACAGGTGGGACTTCTGGGAAGAGAAGCGAGAGATGCCAGCAATATACAGAGGGAGGCAGACATAAAGTATGGAGGAAAGCTAATGAGCCATGTGGCAGAATGTAGATTAACAGAAGCGGGTTAATTTAAGTTGTAAGTGCTCACTGGGAACAAGCTTAAGGTAAAGGCCAAACTTTCATAATTAACAATAAGTCTCCATGTCATTATTTGGGGTCTGGCGGGTCAAGAAAGTCCAACTACATTTGGCACTCCAATGCATGGCACAACCACACCAATGGAGAAGTCATGCCTGCCAGTGTTGTCACAGTTGCTACCTGGGCTTCTCTGTGAGCACTCACAATGGTCCAGCTCTCGGGGACTCTGGAAAGTGGGCTCAGCAACTTCCCAGAGCTGAGACAGTTAGACATGGCTCTCACTGCTGCCTGTAGACCCAAAGTGGGCAGAGCCAGCTGCCAGTGCCAGGTACTAAGCAGAGCCATGCCATTTAAGGCCTGGCTCACACAGTCAGAAAAGGCTGCAGACACACAAAAAGTCAGGTCCAGACTGAAAAGAAATCCCTGAACAAGCCAGGCTGATCTCTGTGAGTTCAAGGCCAGCCTGGACTATAGAGTGAGTTCCAGGAAAGGCACAAAGCTACTCAGAAAAACCCTGTCTCGAAAAACCAAAAAAAAAAAAAAAAAAGGGAGTAAAGTAATATAAAAAGATTAAGTCACATAGGATGGGAAATACACAGGGCATCTGGATCCTGTATGGTGCTTTGTTAACTTTAGATTTTTTAAATGCTGATGAATAAAGGGCAAATGCTGCTGAGAGACATTAGGTTGTAGAAAAGACTGCTAAATTAAACTAGCCTATATATTTTAAGGATGTCTTGACTTTAGAATGGAAGTCAGAAAATATGTTGCATTGGGGGAGAGGCTATGCCTTTGTTTTCACAGGAAACAAAAAGCTATGGATTCCTTCAAAATTTATGAAGATGAGATTTGATCAGGGGAGACCTCCTGAAAATCTTGGCTGTGGACATGAAGGAAGAAACAAAGAAAAATTACAAGACAGGTGACATATATGCTGATCCCTCTACATGGGAACAGCTCTGAGACTGGATAAGACATGATAAATCTTGTTGGCTACAGAGCCCTCATGACTTACTATTACATGCCGTCCTTTCATGTGGCATGCATGAAGATTTATATTAGTTTGGTTATACAGTCCAAACTGTCTTATAAGGTTGACAGATGTCTTTTATCTGCTGCCCAAACACAGAGCACAGAATCATTTTAGCTCATTTGTGCACACCACACATTCCATACTTGTGTTAATGCAGGCATGTACGTTGGTGTGTTTTCAGAACAAAAGGACAAGACATCAACGAGGACAAGTAGCCCAGGTGATCCAGGCTCTCAGAATGCCTCTGTTACAGTTTCCTCAAAATTCTACATCCAGAATAACTTCAAAGTGGCTAGCTGAGATGGTCCAGCCTCACAAAATATCCAGCCAGGACTTCAGATAAGCCCTGTACTTTCCCATCATACAGAGACTGAACAACAAATGATACAGCTAGCTATCCCAAGATTTGATCATTATCCCAATTTTCTCAGGGTCCTCTTGTACGAGGCTTTTTATTTTAGAATGCCAACCAGCTCCCAAATCATGACACAGTTTTTATTAGTTTTGAATGCTTGGCCTAGCTTAGGCTCATTTCTGCCTCATACCTGGCACTGGACTATTTGTACCCTAGTTGCCAGTCCGGTCTTGCTATTTCAGAAGCTTCTAGTTACAGAGACCAGTGGGACACTTGGATGCTAAGTATGCATCCACTCCTCAGACCTCCCTCAGCCTCAGCACTAACTCCTAGGCTCCAACCCTCACAGGTAAGCAGCTCTGTCAGTCCAGGTCCTGGGAGTAGCCACAGACTTCCACATTTATTCACCAGCTCCCCAAGTGCCTTGGAGCAGCAGGCTCTGAGAGCAGAACCAAGTCAATGGTCTCCCGCTGCTCTGGAAGGGAAAGATGAAAATTCCCCTCTGTTAACAGGGTAAGGACCTAATACCAACCTGGACACGGCATGGTGAGGGCAGAGAAACCAAGCAGGCAGATCTGCTAAGCTTACAAGGGAGCACAGCTGCCAGTGTGCTTATCTCGGAAATGGAGACGACACTAGTGCTTCTCACAGCTTTGAATGTCCCACAGTGCCGGCACAGGAAGCTCTTCCTACATGGGCTCTTCTCGTTCTCTGATAAAGTATGTCCAGTACTGTCATTGCCCTTTGTACTTCCTGTCTGCTCCGTTCCAGGTAATGGCATGTTAGTGTAGAAATTGTCACATCAAACACCCCCCTCAGACACACAACCTAGATTTACACTCTACATCCAACCATGGCAACGCTCTTTGGGTTCTGCATTTAGATCTGCATTCAAATGCTGACTTGACCTCCTCCCATCCCCACTGTTCTGACCCTCCCCAAATCACCACCCACTCGTCTAGCAGTTGAGACATGCTCCTCCCTCTCCCTGTCCCCTGCTATGGGGCTATCTCCTTAAGGGAACTTGGGAGAGAAAGCATCCTACGTTTTGTTGCTGGGCAGTGGTGGCACACACTTTTTTGTTTGTTTTTT